AAAACAGAAGAACCAATCCTAAAATTCATATGGAATATCAAGGGCCCCTGAATAACCAAAACAAGATTGAAAAAGAAAAAGTCAGAGCACTCGCTTCTCTATTTCAGAATTCCCACAGAGCTTCAGTGATCAGGACAGTGAGGTGCTGGTCTAAAGACACACACACGTATCAACCGAATGGAAGCCAGAGCCCGGAAATAAGTCCACGTGTCTAGGGTCAACTGGTGTCCATAAGGGTGTCGAGACGATGCAGTAGGGAAGGAACAGTCAGTCTCTTCCACAACTGAAAACTGGACGTCAACATGCAAAGGAGTAAAGCAGAACCCCTACCTCACACCACACACAAAAGTTACCTCAAAGTCAGAGACCAAATCTAAGAGCCGGGAGCATAAAACCACGCGGAAAAAGTGTAGGGTTACATTTCATGACCTTGGATTAGGGAATGGTTTGTTACATGTGACACTGAAAACTCAAGAAACAAAAGGGAAGAAAATCAATAGGACTTTACAAAATTAAAAACTTCTGTGCATCAAAGGACATTATTAGGAAACTGAAAAGACAATCCCCTAATGGGAGAAGCTATTTTCAAGGCACGTTCTAATAAAGGGTCCAGTAGCCAGAATTTATAAAGAACGCTCGTGATTCCACCACAAAAAGGCAAACAGCCTATTTTCTAAACGGGAAATGGCCTTGAAGAGACACTTCTCCAAAGAAGTGGACAAATGGTCACAAAGCCCCTGCAAACGCTGGGGAGGGGCCGTGCCCGAGCGTCCGCGCCGGGCTTGGGCTCTGGGACTGGCACGAGTGCAGGGACACGGCCCGAGCTCTGTCCCCACCCGGCCCGAAGCTCAGGTCTCGCGCAGGGAGCCCCGCCTCGGCGACTTACTGTCCCCCGCACACGTGAGCCCAGCGTCCCGGCTGTGCCCGCACTGGTGCCCACGACCCCGCGGGCAGTGGAACAGCAGCGACTCGTTGCCCACGCAGCGGAAGGCCTCGCTCCACACGGGCCCGGAGCCGCGGCCGAAGCGGGCGCCGCTGGGCGTGGACACGGCCGCCGCGCCCTGCAGCTCCTGG